TCAACTTCCAGAATTCTGGGAGTTGAAGTCCACCCATCTTAAAGTTGCCAAGGTTGAGAAACCCTGGACTAACCACAGAGTTTGTGGAACAAGCAATTTCCACTTGACACATACTACCACTTTTGTTAGTTTTCAAATTTGCAGTTGTTTGCAAAATTTGTTCCTCTCCCTGAATCAGGAAACTAGGAAAACAGTAGGTTTTCTCAGTGGCAAAGGAGGTCAAGGAGAGGGAGACCTTGAGGGAGGTCAAGGAGATTGTGGAGATACCAGATGGATTCATGGTGGGAAGAGAGACATGTTAGTCTTCAATAGTCAAAAATCACAAGGAACCTAGTAGTCTCTTTTCCAACTGACAACTTTTATTAAAAGGCATAAGTTTTCATGAACTCATGAAAGGTTATGCCTTTTAATACAATTTGTATTAGTATCAGAAAATATGATACTAGATCCTGATTTTGGGGTGGATTCATAGTATCTACCTATTTTCCAAAAGGTGTGGAGCAGACCCCCGTGCCCAGATTTAGGTTTCCAGAAAGGAAGTTTGACAAACGATGGATTTTGTTGACAAATTAAAAATCACCAGTCGGGGTAGCAAGCATTTCAGAAGCTGAAAATAACTCAAAAGTTAAACTACTGGTTTTCTAACAAGCGATATTTAATAAATTCCAAAGATTATTGTATCTAGCAGTGCACCAGAAATTAGCCAGTTTCATTCATTATTTTAAAAGAGTATAAGATGAGTTATTTACTTTTAATGTCTATTCTAGGAAGGAATGTCTGCAGGGAGGGGGTCAAAAAAGTCAAGATGCTGGCCACAAACACGTGATTGAAGCCCCACTCTTTTTATGTGTGTTTCAATGCACATAATACAGGGGCGGGGCTTTGATCACATGGTTGTGGCCGCCATCTTGACTTCTTTGACCCCTCCCTGCGGACACCCCTGATTCCAAGTAAACGTTGATAAATCCCCAGTTTACTGTCTTTGCCACTTGCAGGTTTTATAACAGTAACTAAGAATTGTACATGTCATTTTCTGTACTTTGTTTGTCTCAAGTAACTGGTCAAGTAAACTTATCTTTCATGGAATATTTTGGATTGTCTGTCAATGAGATGATGGAAGGAAAGATTGGTCTTTAAAATTAGATGGTAGTGTTTAGGGGCATGGATACGATGCACTTTCCTTGGAAAAAATAAAGGACTAACCTGAAAAAGGAGCAAATCTGAAAGAGGTTCATAAGGATAAAAAAGTGAGATGAAAATTCAAGAGCAGAACCAAGAAAGTAATTAAATTAAATAAATCTAAAGGACAGCTTTCTGAAATAAAGGACTGTCCTTTATAATAATCATATCCATATGATGGTCACTGTAGGCATGGACAAGTACTAGGGTAGAATAGGTTGGAGGCCCTCATACATGAAGTACTGTTTTGCAAAATCCTGATGTATGTTTAAGCTACTACTAGGACCATGGTGAGCTCATTTTCCTCTTCCTGTCTTCCACCTATTGTAGGTGACTCTGAACAGGAAGTGATGTTGAAAACCAAGATGGCAAAGGCAACTGTGGGTGGGCTGAGTCCTACCAAAGAATACACTTTGCAGATCTATATCCTTAATGGCTCCCAGGAGGCCCTCTTTGTCAAGAGGAAATTTGTGAGTAAGTGTGGTTTCTGCTTCCTTACTGTCCAAGTATTTCACTTTTGGTCAGACTGGCTTTGTAGTTGCTCAGGGTTTGCTTCGTTGCACCTCTCAGACCAAGGAGAAAGCAAGGATGGAGCGTAGCTGTGTGAGAAGAGAAGGAAAGCTTTGGCTAAATCTGGGTTCCCCAACGTGGTCAATATTGATCCCTAAGGGTTGATGGGACTATCCAAGGGATTATTATGATGATGATTGGTTGCACAGTCAGCCAGATGTTTAGACTGGATTTGGCATTTTTGTCCACCTATTGAGTCCTTCCCAAGGACCTGGGCTAGGCAGATGTTGTTATTTGATGGTGTTAAAGGTCGCAGGATAAAAGCAGTTCCAAGTAAAGCTGCCTTTTGCAATGGACTGGTGGTGATTTTGTCAATGCCGATGGTCTTCAAGTGATGCTCCAGATGTTTTGGGATTGCACCTAGGCACCTATAACTGCCAGATGTTTAGACTGGATTTGGCATTTTTGTCCACCTATTGAGTCCTTCCCAAGGACCTGGGCTAGGCAGATGTTGTTATTTGATGGTGTTAAAGGTCGCAGGATAAAAGCAGTTCCAAGTAAAGCTGCCTTTTGCAATGGACTGGTGGTGATTTTGTCAATGCCGATGGTCTTCAAGTGATGCTCCAGATGTTTTGGGATTGCACCTAGGCACCTATAACTTATTGGTACTTATCTTTGCTTTCTTTGGCCACGGTCATTCTACTTCTATTTGCAGATCCTTGTACTTTGTGATTTTCTCCAGTTCTTTCTCTTCTCTTCTGCTGTCTCCAGGTATTGCAATGCCTGCTATCCAGACTTTTTTGTCTTTCTTATCGACAATGATTCAGTCTGGGGTGTTGTGTGGCAGGTGCTGGTCTGTTTGAATCCTAAAGTCCCAGAGCACTTTCGCTTCTTCGTTTTCTATTACTTTGTCTGTTTCGTGGTCCCACCAGTTCTTCCTTGCAGGCAAATGGTATTTCTTCTTCTTCTTCTTCTTCTTCTTCTTCTTCTTCTTCTTCTTCTT